GTGAGAAACAACCAATCAACAGACTGTATTTTCTACTAACATTAACCTACAATAATGTACATCAAAATCTATAACTATGTGTTGATTTTCCGTAATAAACGTTCTGTTGCCTGGCCCTTGTCTTCTGTTGTTACAATACTACATGTAACGATCTAGGCTTCGTAGACAATTGCAAGGGGTTTCGTGATGTGGATGACAAGGAAAACAATTTGACTCCTATCACTTATTCAGTTTCTTCTACGCCTGGCTGTGCAGATAAAATCGAAGAATTAATCTCTATTATTAAGCCACTAGAGATAAAGGTATCGAAAATGACACTGCCTAGTTTAATAATGTATATTTCACATAAATTAAGCATTTACATGATTAACATACCGTTTGTATAGGCATCACCATATTTGACAAGTGCAATTTGGAATAGAACACTGTTTTTTGACATTAAAAATTGGAAAAATGGAAAAAGTAACCTCTAGAAACTTTGTTAGAATAGATTACAACATATTGGTTCAAGTCTAAATTATAATCTATAATATACTTATAGTCAGTCAAATTCATGCGGGAATTACGAAATGTTGCGTTAATGGAAGGTAAGAAGAGAGGTGATAAACAGGTGCTAGAGTAAGACATACAGGATACAGGCCTTGTGATCATTATCATTTTGTCAACTAATAAGGGTTCAAAAATTTATAAAACTCCACAGAAGCGGGTAAGTGCAGCATTATTTTGGTATTAACAGATACAAGGGACCCACTCTGCGATGATAAACACTGGTAGTAGTATTGCTTCACCTAAAACGTTACCGAAAATCACAAAACTGATAAAGTTTGTTGCAACTGAAGTATATCAACACATAGTGCGTAAAAAGAGCAGAATCGTGTATGGCGTACCGGATTATGCACAGATATTCAAGGCCAAAAACACTTCTGAATGAAAAATGTTTCGCGCAGCTGCCATTGACTAAGAAAGTCTCAGAAAAATAGGCATTGTCCACTCGTGTTGAAATTTGACTCATCCTCTAATGCTAAAATTTTTCACAGTTGGCAAACGCTACTGAGAAATATGCGTTACCATGTGATTAAGTTAACTCGTGACAAAATGCCGATGCAAAGATTGGCTACTATGACTTGTCTTAAAACCGTTAAGTCCAGCTCCTCTGCAGCACCTTTGAGCCCTCACACTTTGGTTGAGGCAAAAAAGGGTTTAGATGTGCCTACATGAAATACACCAAATCCGATAAAGAACTTTCGTGAAAATATAAGGTCCAAAAATAGTTCAGCATATAACTGTACACCTAGAGTCCTCAGCTAAGGATCCCTGTGCCGCTGTAACCCACTGCAGTACATTACACCGTGTATTCATCAATCTTGGTAGTCCCAACTTCATGAAGTTGAAGAATGCGGCTACCGGTTCGTTCACAGAGACAGTGCAGAATAAGAGACCAATGCCGCAACCTAAACACTATATGAATGGGATTAGGATTGGGTTTAATGATGAGGTTCCGATGGCCTTAAACACTGATAAGATTGCGAAACCTTCGGACTCAAATTGCAGTATCGTAATTTGGAACTTAAAGGAACCAAAGAAAGTAGATCCAGCTGCCCGACATGCCAATGATCTCGAGGTACTTAGCTCTATCATCCGTGAAGCGTTTCATGTAAAACAACTGGAGTTCATACAAAGAAAGTCATCAGAATCGGTAAACGAAGCGCCGGTGCGACGGAAAGTTCTGCACGACTGTTGAAGATAGTACTCGGGAACGAGATAGATACAAGAATTATTCTCGACAACACTTTAAGGATCCAGGTCAAAACGAAGAGAACAATGTCTGACTGGCCTCTGGAAGGTAGAATTAAGAGAAGAGTAGCCGTGGCTGAATTAAACGTCCGAATAGAAAAAAGTGAAAAAGAGATCAAACTTTTGGGTTTTCGGATAGTGAGGTCTCGGAAACGTATGTTGACCAGACATCTGTTCATAAGTCGAGTGCACACCTAGGTCCCTCAGTACGCTATACGAACGCGTGTAGTCTTAGGAATAAGCGTCCGGAACCAAGAGTGTTGTCTGAAGGACTATAACCTGATGTGGCTGCTATCACTGAAACATGGTTGTTAATGGATGTACACTTAACTCCACTCATACCTGGGTACATCAGCACTACAGCAGACAGAGTAATTAGTTGGAAAGGTAATAATAATAATATTTATTTACATAAATTAAGCATTTACATGATTGACATACCGTTTTTACAGGTATGATCATATTTGAGAATTGCAATTTGAAATGGAACACTGTTTTATGATATTAAAAATTCGAAAAATGAAAACACTCTAAAAAATTTATAAGAATAAATTATAAGATATTAGTTTAAGTCTAAATTATAACCCATAATATACTTATAGTTAGTCAAATTCATGCGGTGGTGAGGTTTCCCTATACATCCGGGATGACGTGGGAATTAGATCGACGTCGTCGGAAGCTCGTGAGAGCGGTATCAGTGAAGCCGTAGGCTGTGTCATTAACTTGAACAAAGGCACCATGACAGTTGGGGTTATTTGTAGAAGTTCTGCTGGCCAAGCTGAAGATTTCGTTCTAAATCACCTCGGGACGTGCAGTATTTGAAATGAGTGTCTAATAGTAGGTGACTTTAGTGCTCCACACATCAATTGGAAGGAGTTAACATCTACTACCTTTTACACTTGTTTCAACAGGGAACTCATACTGACAGTGCGCGCTTGTGCAGCATATCGATGCATCAGCACGATACCACCCAGAACATGATCTGCCCGCTCTAAACTTGGTGCTAACACACCCGAAGGAGGATTTCAGTGACACTAGGTGCCTGGCGACGCTAGACATTATTGATCATATAGTTGTCATTTGTACGCTTCGGATTCACGCTGTCATATATAGGTCAACAGCTGCCCGTCCAGACACTTGGAAAGCGAATATGTCTGCAATCCGAAATGCAGCAACCTTAGATGACTGGTCTGTTGATATGCATCAGACTGTCGAGGGGGCGTGGATGAGATTTAGGAATACACTAGATTGCGCCACTGTACGCTTTGTACATTGGTCTACGCCTCGATAACTATCGCATAAACCACTTTGGATTAGTAACGAAATAGGGAGGTTATCGATTAAACAAAAGGACTTATGGGACCGGTTTACTGTGACTGGGGGGAATGAGTTTTGAACGGAATACTGCAATATTCGAAACCTTTGTAGGTATAAGATCGACAAAAGTCGTATAGAGTATGAGAGACAGTTAGTACTGGATTGTGTGCATTATCCAAAAAGACTGTACTCGTACATTAAACTCAGGACTAAAACTAGCAGTGGTTACCATCCTTCATAAGCAACACTGGATGGGCGGCCGAGTCAGACGGAACAGTCTGAAAAGCTTTCGGAATACTTTTGCGATGCTTTTTCGCCTAATCGTACCACTCAGGGTTGTAGCGAGGTCACTACTGTAGCCGCTAAAATGCCCAGAATTGTGGTTCTCAAACTACTGTCTAAACCGAAGCCAGGTTAATCACCTGGACCTGAAGGACTTCACCCTAGACTGCGAATCTCCTTGGCGGATATAATATATATTCCACTTACGGAGATTTTTCAAATATGTCTGACCCAGGCTAGGCTACACAGGGACTGAAAAGATGCTTTTATAAGCCCTATCTTCAAAGAGGGGAACAGGCAGTTAGTATCAAACTACCGGTCCATAAGTCTGACCTGCATTATAGCGAAGGTATTAGAAACACACATAAGACATCATCTTTTAGCTCACATGGAGAAACGTGGCTTACTGGCAGTGGAACAGCATGCATTACGACCAGGATGATCCTGCCTGACAAACTTACTGTTAGCTAGGGAAGATTGGGTCGAAGCCAGGGATAAGAACCATCTACTGGACATTGTATTTATCTATCTTAGTAAAGCATTCGATAAGGCATCCCGTTTTGGATTAGACCAACGCTGATGTGAGTGGTTTAGCGACTACCTGATGGATATGAGACAGAAGGTAAGGGTTATTGGTGTACTGTCATGGTGGAAATCGGTACTAAATGGAGTACCTCAGGGAATTGTACTTGGTCGCCAGCTATTCCTATTATACGCAGATTCCTCCCTTATCTTCCTCATTATTTGAAGACGACATTAAGATATGGAAAACCGGAAGAAGTAGAGATGATAGGTTGGTACTACAAAACGGTCTAGATAAATTAGCTGAATGGGCTTATCTCTGGAGTCTAGAAATTAACTACAAGAAAAGTACGGTAATGCATGTAGGTCAGAGGTCTTACATGTTGTACTCCCTGGGGGAGACAGAAGTGCCAGATGTTAAGGGACAAAAGGACTTAAGAATTATTGCAAGCCAAAACATAAAAACAAGGGCAAATTGTACAGGAGCCACAACTAAGGCTTTTCGAATGTGAAGAGCACTTCGAAGGGCTTTCAAACGATTAGACGAGGGTATGTTCCAAGTATTCTATGCAACATATGTCAGAACTCATCTAGAATACTGCATCCAAGTGGTGAGTCCATGCTTCAAAAAGGACGTACAGAGAGTAGGAACAAAATTAGTTAGTGGCATCCAACACCTTCCCTACGATAGGAGGATGGAGCATTTAAGTCTCTTCCCATTATCATAACGAAGGAGGAGAAGGAACTTAATTTTGACATACTGTATATTAAAGGGTATTTGGGGATTGACCTTCCAAACCTCTTTTCTCCCTCTAGGATACATTTACGAGGTCACCACAAGAAGGTACTCAATTCGAAGTCGAATTAAATACGTGTGGAATTTAGATTCTCTGACAGAGTGGTCAACAACTGGAACTCCTGATCTGATTCAGTAGTAACAGCTCCATCAGTGAACGCTTTCAAAGAGAAACTATATCTCTGCAGAGATATATATCTCAAGAATTAATATAGGTAACAAGAGTCTTCTATCCTTATGGTCTGAATCATGACCAAGAAGCTAGTACCAAAAATCAAATTGGCTTACACTAGCTGCTAAAAACGATATTGGATATTGCGTGCTTGTTAAAAATATATACATTTCGACGAAAAATCTAGGTCATAGAAGGCGCGATGTTCAATATCAATTTTATAATTGCGAGTTTGCCACGGTTATTTGAGTGTTGAGTTGTATGCGAACTTCAAAGAAGGTGTGAAAACCATTTTGTTAATAGCTTTATATTACAGAAAAGGGGACTTTTAGCCCCGGAAACTGGACACGAATGTAGTAAGTGCTTTTTGAACTTTAAAGTTTATATATTTCGGTAACTATTCGTCGCTCACCTTGTATATTTCACTTCTTTACAACCGAATTAAAATTTATTATTTGATAACACCTTATTCTTAGATAAAGTGAAGAGTTTCTTCTCGAGGTTCGGAAGTGGTTTGCGTAGCGCTTTTCACAAACACCACCAGCCTAGTGTACCGGTAATTAGTCGCGATGTTAGCAATCATTGCTACTCTTCTGATGATTTGAGGACAAGCAAAGAAGTGAAAGTTTCTATTGCAAGAGAGGCGACTGACACTCTGTCCTTAAGGTATGTTTAAATTTTGTCTGCAATTTTAAGGGTTTCGTATCAGTGCACGTAATTATCTTAGTGTTAGGCCGTAGTTAATATTTTCCAGCAAGTTAAAGCATATAGGTATTTAGTACGGTGGCTTACTTTTAGGTGTTAATTGTCTAGGACCCATTAAGTTTCATCAGTAATATTGTTTTAGATGTGTCAGAATATTTGTAGCTCAGGTGTAGTTGTGTTCTCCGACCTGGATAGAGTTCAAAGAGCTCCTAGGAAACATTTTCAGCTCTTGCTTCCATTTTTATTTGTACCGAATCTGAATCGCTATAGGCACTTTGTTCTCCTGTGTCAGTTCGTAACGTGTTAATTCACAATTTTAAAATTTACTTCTCAGGTAAAGCAGAAGTTCGACTTTGCTCAGAATAAGTTGGACACAGTTTCTTATGTAATAATCCACGATGTACTTACCGTCTAAAGCTCATTTTTACTAGAAGGTTTTGTAGAAATCATCAAATGGCACCGAGTTTAAGTTTAACAAACCAGTGTTTGAAGTCCATATGGGCAGTTAAGTATGTATTTGGTGTCACTTGGGTCTTTTTCGTAATTGTTTACGTACAGCGGAGATATATTCCAAATAATTCGTTGTGCTTGGACAGTAACGTTTTACTGGCCAGCCCGCCTGCATATGTAAGGTGTGTATGTTGACAGTAAATTAAATCTGCGTGAAAAGTCAGCCACTATTGCTGTTTGTTACTGTTATTGTGGATATATCGGCACGCTAATTTCGAATTTACTTTTATCAAGATGAGTTCGAAGCTTTGCAGGCTTATTGTGATAGATCGAAAGTTGACTTAAATTCATTTTTTTTCCAAATTTACACCTAGGAGAGATTAAGACTTATAGTTAAATGAAGGTTTTATTTTTTGTGATGTCTTTATGTCGGTTAATCTTGCAGATACATATCTTTTTCTGGGTTGAGATATTTATTAGTGTCTGTAACATAGATAAATCTGTGTTTGGTTGCCGAAATGTAAAAGAGGTATATCAGTTTCTGTTTCTACTTCTTGTTTGTCGTGAGTTGTTCTTTAATTTAGTCACTTGTTTAGTTTTGATTCCACGCCTTTAGTTCACTATCTTAATTGGTCGTTTATTAGTCTGTCTTCAACGCTATTTTTCTGTTTTGCGCAATTCGGACTTTCAGTTTTTTAAGTGTTTTTTGTATAACACTTTGAGGATGTTTATAAACTTGGAGACACCTGTCTCCCTAACATCAATAGGTGGAGCGATTGTTGACGTACAATACGCCTAATGGTATTTTAACCACCAATGAGGGGTAAACACGTGATATGTGTATCCGCGATGTCAACAAAATCTGGTCTGGTCTTTGTGAGGTAGTTTTCCACGCGTTCAACATAACCTTTGGAGCATGCTATCAGCCGGTGTTGTAGGCGCATCTGGCAACATATTGGCACTTCGATGATTGTCACACATATTACGTATACTTTTCTTATGAACATATTGTTTGCCTCATTCCACATTGATGTGGGTACATTCAATAGCCCATACTTTTTCAGGTAGTCTTTTCAATCATTTTCTTACAGTCTCATCACTATTAAAAAAGCTGGGATTAAATGTTCTTGACCGGGCACCTTTTAGTACTTCAATACTTTCAAAACTATGCTTTGTTAAGTAGGTTTATATTTATATGGGTTAAGTAAGTAAAACCGGCACAGGCGATGAATAGGTCTTTGTCAGCCCTGGCTATGAATACCTGACTGCATAATGACGTTTCGAAGGAAAGATAAATCGATCCTCCCTCGTCGTGTTTAGTTGTCTACGAAGGTGAGAACTCTAAAGCATGCAAACTGAGGTACACTCACTCAGACTGGATGTAAACCATTTGATGGGACTAAACAAATTCAGCGATTCAAGAAACAGATGTGTTATGCATGAGGAGTGACCACTGTCCCAAAAAAGTAATATTGACTGGATTAGAATTGGACTAGAAGAATGCTGGGAGTAATAGGACGGAGACAACACCGTAGTCTAAGGGTTCTGGTTGTATATGGTACGTACCGAATTGTATTTTAGCTGTATGGGTTTCTTCGGATGTTAAGAATTATTTACCCTTCCCAAATAGCCTGGTAGCAGTAACGGTAGATGGATTCTGGTCTTCTCCTCAAAACACCATCATATAGCCACGGATTAATAACCTCTACTTATTAGTTTTTACTGTCTGAGTGGGGTTCGGGAAACCATAGAACCTGGTGACCCGTGACATTATCTGGTATGACTCAATGGGAAGCACCCAGTGGTTTTCCTCTTTTACTTTTTAAGGTAATATTAAGTAACGGACGTTTCACTAAACATACCTGATAAGTATACTCACATGTTTTGGTTTTGTTGCTTCTAAAATATTTTATTGGTATTTTATTTTTGTTATTTTATTATTTCGTGTGGTACATCTTTTGATGTTCATACTGTTACAAGTATGTGCTTAAATAACTATTTCTGAAACACTATTTGCTTTTTATTTTATCTCAAACATCGTCAAATAAAGTTCTTCTTTTCAAAATGAGTTAGTTATTATAAGTGGTTAATTTTTCATTGTAACTGAAAGGACCTTAACAAATTTTGGTTATCCCGACCTGACGCTACCTGTTTAATCGCTTTTGTATATTTTCTAAGTAGATTTTATCAACTACTGTTTAGAAGCAGTTTTAAACGTCCCTTAATTTTCACTTTAAGAAGTAATTTCTTAAAAAACCGTTCTGTGCTCATTTAAGCCAAACTGTGTCACTGGTGCATTTCAGGGAGCACCTGTTGAAAAATTGGAATTATAGTGAAAGACGTTTTTGTAAGAAATTCAGTTTTTTCAATTTATTTTACTGCTGGAGAAGCCTAGTTGTGAATTGGTTTTCGGGTCAAAGAGTGAATTCATCAGACATGTGGCAGGAATGTTTCCTATTACCTGCATAGGGATAAAAAATATGTGCTTTGGCTTAAAGGTATTTACTATGATTGGTTTGTAAGGATTAGATTTGTTTTTACGAGTTGATCACGGATTGATATCAGTATACGAGCTTGCCTTGTAACCGGAAGGTCCTGGGTTCGAACCCCAGTGGGTGCGTACTGCCGATGATTCCCAAACTAGGATGAAACAGCAGCTGTCCAGTACTCCCTGGTTTTCAATGATTCTCTAACTGATTCAATCCGTCATCAACTCGTTAAAGGTATTTAGTCATCTCTTCACTTTTTGTAACTCATATGTTGAGAGATCATGCTTTATTGCAAACCAGTGTCGAATTTATTTTTAGCATATTGTCAAGTGTTTTCTTAGATGAGTTTAGCTATACTTATACTGAAGTGAGATATTCAACGTGTTCTGAATATTTCTTACACTCACCTAATGTCTTCCAGACCTGAAAGTGTCAACTAAGAGATGCCTAACAAGAGTGCATAAAATTTAATCTAACAATCTACAGGTGTTTTTGACTTAAATTATCAACCGTATAACCAAAGACTTATGATGTGGCAACTGACTTCAACAATGAATGATGTGGAGAAAAGAATGAATGGATAAATGCAAAACGTGTTTTCAAGTGGAACTTCTTGTTAGTTGATTTCTTACTCGTTGAATCTAATTATGATACAGTGTAACTCTATATCAACCGGTTTTCGTGGTCGTACTGTTTGTTTGATAGATGCATTTCGATCAGCTCTAAAAACTTGAAAAAACATTACGTTGGTGTTATCTTATGATGATGGATTCATGTAGGTTTAGATAAATTGAAATGTTTTCTATGAATTTCGTTATATGTATTGACGTAAATCAGCTGGTTGAATGTTATGAGTATAGCTTTGTATATGTGATCAAAGTATGCATTCAAAATTGATTATTTATTTACCAACTAGTTTTATGCAAATTAATACAATCAGGTAGTGTTATGCATTGCATATTCAACATGAGTTAATTTATTCTTAAATATGGCATTTCTAACTGTGCTAGTCGACTTAGTTATGAATATCTATTTGGTGTTGTGTTAACTAATTGGTATGTTTTCAGGTGCTAGTTTGCAGGGATTTGATTTATTTCAAGTTAGATTACCAACTGAAACCATTTAGAGAGCTATTAAAAACTACTGGGTACTGGAAAGTCACTTCGTCTTAGTTTGGGACTCTTTATCTAACTCGGGATCTTCACGTTACGAGGCAAGCCGGTGGACCATTCCAAAAACCACGATGGAATATAATGGCCAGTGGATTCTAATTATATAGCACCACTGGTAGCTAATATCGTTGGTTAGTAAATGCCTACACATCTAACTCTGTGGAACTCACTGGTCACAACTTCTCATTAGAACTCCAGGCAACCCCATCCTGTAGTCAGTTACTATTGTGGGTTAGAAAGTTAATCATTATCATTACAAATTTACTGTAAAACCTGTTCACCTTTATTGGGAATATAAGGTAATATGTGGGATCTGGCTGCTTCATAATATTACTATTTGGTGAAAGTAAGTCTCCATAAAGATATTTAAGCTGTGGAAAATCAAGGAAAAATGCTACATACTTTTTGTCACATTTATTTCAGAGTTGTGATTGTAGAGCACTACTCGGATTTCTCTGCTAAAGTCTCCTCTGTCCAAATGGAAGAGAGTTGTGCAACCTTATATGGTGTGAACATTTCATTATCAAAAAAGAAAAGAAAGTAATGTTTATGCTCTACTCCGTACAAAGTTGATCATTGAATAGGACCGGAAGCTGTTTCGGGATATTTTAGATTTCAAAGGTGTTTTCAGTGCTTATTAACATCACTTAAGAAACCACCAATGGTGGTTTTCTGTTGGACTTGCCTACAATCTCTTGAACAATCAAATCCAGAGTCATCAAACCTTTTTATGGGAATTTCATCGTTCCCTCGATGAGTCGGAATCTAATAGTCCATGTTTTCTCAACTTTTGCCAGTTCATGGCATAATGTAACTGTCCACGTTTTTTTCATTCTACCGGTCACGGATT